CGTAAATTTAATTTTCATGTATTTGCTCTCCCACCAACACGATGGTATGGAACATTAATAAGGCGATAAGGATGTGTGGGTGGATTCTCCTGAATGTGACGGACGGTATACCAGATCCAGAACCAGATGCACAATGCCCTAGCTATCTCCCCTCCACGCGTGGAATTAACAATTTACAATTTGTCGTCTCTGATGTGGATTGTTTTGTCTTAATGTTTGGATGATTATTCGTCTCTGGGCCGGGATATCTCTGTTTGTGTTTGGGCTTGGGGACGTTCATTCTCATCACTTTTCTCACGCCCTCCTCTCCTACGCCGATACTTGAACCACTCCCTCCGGTCCCAACTACTGCTTCAAACGGTGGTCCTAGATTTTGTCAAAATCTGTTATCCGAGTTGGGTTCATCTGTATCAAAAATTTGATCCATTCTCTAACTTGACTCTGACAATTATTACAAAATATATTTATATGTCGTTACAGAAATTGATAGGAGTGTTGTATTTTTTTTTTACCCCGGAAGAAGCAATAAATTATTTCTAAAATTAAGTCATTTCTTTTTTTTTTTTGGTAGAAAAAAAAATGCTAAGTTCTCAATATCAAAGAGACTGAGAAACGCAGCTAAAAACATCCCTATCATCTATCAAATATCAATCAACAAAGAGGGTCCCAATGGACCTCCCGAGATACAGATAAGGCCATACCATAGGCTGTCTCATTACAATTTCTTGGCACATAGCGCAGTTAACCTGGCTTCATTAATTAAGCTTGCTGCTTTAACACAATCTGACTATTATCATATATAATGGAGACCCACTGGCTCTGCTGCAAGCTCTGCAGTTACTTGATTTCGTACATCAGGAGTACTAGTCTTAATTTGCTTCCACAAGGTCGTGAACAGCCCATTTTCTTCTTCTGGTCTTGCTGAATAACACACTAATGTCTAACCTTTATTCCACAAACGCATCTTTATATAACAGCTCTTGGCTTGTCGAATTATTTCTTATTAAAGCCCGGTCCAGCTACCAGCTGTTCATCAGCTTTCCATTATAGCTAGGCTGCATCAGTATTGAAGAGTGGTGACCGATGAGCTTCACCTAATGTTGTCAAGGAGAAAATCACTTTTCTATGATCTCCATGACTCCATTATTCATTCTTGAAAGTATTACTTGGTTTCAATTCCTAGTAACTTGACAACACAGAATATATTTCATAGCTATAGTCCTGAATCCTGAGTGTGTTATTCTTACACCCTCCTTTTCCCCAAGTGAGCATTCAATTCGCAGAATCCTAACCACCTACTACATACACTGGACACATTCTATCTTTTACTCCTTTATAGCATAGAAGGGCAATTTTTAGACCTTAATATCAATAAAAGAAATAAATTTAATAAAATTTTAAAAAGAATTTAAATTTTTTAAAATAATATAAAAAAAGGGTAAAATTACAACAGGCGGCATGGAGAAGGCTTCTGCGATCAAATGAAGATCACGGAGAAGGATTTCAAGAAGAACGGTCCACAGGGTGTTGGATACAGACAGGGGCATAGGGCTGAAAATGTAAAGGAGAGTCATAAGGTGAATTCTGAAACCCATCACCATGATGCGAACACTTCTGCTCGGTCGGTTAATACGGAGCCAGATAAACCAGAAGAACCAGAAAAAGCGAAGTATCAAAACAGAGGGCCAACGTCTAAAGATCGAATGATAAAAGTTCTGCACTTGGTGAGGAGAAGAAGGTAACAGTTGCTTGCATGATCCGTTGTTTAGGTGATAAAATTTCTTAAAATGACCAGCGCTGCTGCCGCCCACTTCCGGAGGTGAAAGTGTGCCAGCGCCAGCACGAATCTAATGAATAACTTATAAAAAAAAGAAGATGAACATTAACTTTGCCTCTTTCTAATATTATTTTAAAAAAATTAATTTCTTTTTGAAAATTTATTAAATATATTATTTTTATTGATATAAGGGACTAAAAGTTGCCCTTATCTATTAATTTGATGGGAGAGTGGAACGTAACTAAGAAGCTGACTTGGAATTAAGATATAAATATGTAGTCTGAAATTGATCTGTAAGATAGCCCCACCCAACTAATCTTATTGCTAATTCGATTCTATCTGACCCACTAAGCCCATGCTGAAAGTGATGCTGTGTATTACAACTCCTCACCTTTTAGATCTGGATTGATGTCTACCACTTTTATGCTTTAAACTGTAAACTGGTGAGATTGTATTATATTATAATCCAAAGAAGAAGGAGACAGCGTCCTGATTAATTAAAAAAGCAGTGAAAGATTTAAGTTGTGCCAGCAAATCTCTACAACAGTAAATTAAATTATGATTTATGACGGTGGAATAGATTAGATTAGATTATTGATGGGTTTGTCAACAGTCAACACAAGAGGAAAGAGAAGTGTGGTTTGGGAATTGGCATAGCAGCTGCAGGTAGTTGGTACAGTTTGTGGACACACTGCGTGTTGGATTTGAAGTTTGAAAATTGATAGGTTAACACTCCATGGAGATCGGGGTGAGTGTATTTGGATTTGGGAGACTCCCGACTCCTGCCTCCTGGGGGCTGCAGGGGAATAATCATATTATGATTCAATGTTGGTTCTCTGTTTTGTTTCTGTTTCTGTTCTGTCTTTCTGTGTAGTCTGTATCTACACTCAAACATGCAACTGAATATATATGCATAATGCAAAGAGTATACATGGTTGAGACTTGGGAATGGTACGCCAGAAGGAATGATAGAGGGGCCCATAATGTCAAACATGTCAGACAAAGAAGCTCACTAACAAACACACAGTCACGTGAACTACACGCGCTGCATGCTGCACTGCACTTGGGAGTTGGGGGAGAAATCTGATTCACCAATATTCAATATTTCAGGACTTCTTCCATCCTGACTCCCGAGTGAAGGAAGGAAGGAGATATATTTGATATTCACATCTCCATCATCAGATCAGAGTCGCAAGGTACACGTACATCCTTCCCTTTGACAATTATAACCTAAAAAGAAAAGATGCTCTGATTAAGAGGTGGGGAGGTGGGGGCCCACGTCCACGTCCAAAAAAAAAAAAATGCTAATTCCCAATGTGGGCCCACTATAAGCTTATCAAGTTAAGATCAGTATCAGATCACATAAAGAAGCCTCCTCCCTACCGTCCATTCCACGGTCCACGTCTCAATAGAGAACATCATCGTAATTAGGAAGATCCCAATATTCCCACCATGCCCCCTCTCCTCCGCCTCCCCATTAATATTTTTATTATTCACTATGTATATTGTATGCAAAGCAAAGTAGCAAGCTCATCCTCCCTTCCTTTCTCAAAGTGACAGACAATCAGACATCCCATTACCCTGAAAACCACTTTATTGACCCGGATCATAAATTTCACCTTGATTGATTGATTACTTCAATCATATCTTTATTATTTATTATTATAACTACTTTGGATAACTTTCACCAAAAGAGTCCCATCTCCAACCAAGTTAAAACATACTAATAAAGTGAAATAACTTATATTACATCAGTGGCTGTGCATGTGTTTAACTGTTTAAGTAAACATTAACTATATATGATATTTAAATTTAATTTTTAGGGTAATTTTCTATTATTACCTTGTATTTTCGGCCTAGTGTTATTTTGGTTCTCGGATTTTAAAACATAATAATTTAATATTTGAATTTTTAAGATATATTAATCTAATATTTATCGTTAATTAATCGTTAAATGATATTTAAAAAGATATAAATATCTTTCGAGTGTTATCTGATTTTCTTTATTAATTATGTAACACAATATCAAATCATTGTCATGTTTGGATGGTTGATAAAGAGAACTAGATAACACTCAAGGCATTTTTTCAAATATCACTTAATAATTGGTTAATGATAGGTAATAGATTGGTATGTATTGAAAGTTTGGGTACTGAATTGTCGCATTTTAAAATTCAGGGACCAAAGTAATACTAATCGAGAATTTTTCCTAACTTTTATAATCTAAATAGAATTATCCCTTTTATGATATTAGTATAAAAGCATGCGTTATGCATATGTATTCAAATAAATCTTTTTTTTTTTTTGAAGCCTATTCAAATAAATCTCAACATGAACTTTGAATTTAATTTTTAGGATCTATATGAAACCCAATATAAACATTTTTATCTAGTATAAATTAAATATAATAATAATAATAATTATTATTATTATTATTCACCCAACACTCCCACAATCAAGGCTCTAAGGTACATTAAGTGATTAATAAATACCCATCATGAACAAGTCAATTACTTAATTAATGCTTTAACCCTAATTTCAAAATCATTTATGAATATATATATATATATATATATATATATATATATATATATATATATATATATATATATATTAAAAGGGGTACTAGTCAAACTCAAGACTCAAAGATATTGTAATTTACCAATGACATTATTAAAATTAAATTAAAATTCAACCCCACACACACAAGTAAGTGAATATAATATAATAATTGTTTAAGAGCATTAAAGAAACAGCATGACTTATTAATGGGGACCCTGGACCTTATCTTTAACCCTATGGATGTTGTAGATGCATGTAAACGCAAGATATGAAATGTTAAATGCATGCATCTCAGTTCCTCAAGTCAAGTCTGAGTCTCAACCGGACCTCAAAAAACCAAAAAGACCAGACAACCCAACCCTGGTTTTCATTTCTGAACTTGATCCATACTCCATCATTCAATCATTTTCATGATTTCAAGTATCAGTAGTACTGTACAGCACGGTAGTGAAAAAGGGTGACTAACAAGTATAGTTAAATTCTTAACCATAGTTAAGACTTGAACCAAAAAAATAGGTCTTAACCATAGTTAAACTGCTTCCATAAAACAAATAAAAATGTAAGTGAGGTCCATACTATTATAAGGAATTCACTGTCTTTCATAAGACTGGTGAGAAACCTCAACCACAAAATTTGTGGACTCGGTGGGACTCGGTGTCAGTTGTGTGGTCACCGTTCATTCTCATAGCATAAATTTTCACATATTAGCATTCGCCAAAAAGTTAAACCGATTCTAAGTCTTTATCTGCCTTTTTATCGGTTTCCCCCCAAACTTTTCGCCGTCTACTATTCTATGAGCAGTTGGATCACAGCTCTCTCTCTCCCTCGACAACTTCAGTTCTTCGACCTCCGGAACAGCCAGATATGTGTATTATTTTTCTTAAATTTTAAAATGGAGGCACCTTGTACGAATTTTGGAATTTTATCGTACTTCAGTTAACGTGTTTTGGGTTTGTTCGAGAAGTGCTCCATCGATCTCATATCTTCGTTGTCATAAAAATAGAAAACTATCTCGAGTTTTGGTGGTTCTCTGTGGGAGTTTTTTTAGCGGGTGGATAATTGAACTGAATCTCGAGTTCTTTTTGGTGGGAGAGCGAGAGTGGTACTGTTCTCCGAGATGGGTTTGCTTCGTTTTGTTTAGCTTCCCAATGAAAAGCAGTGGAACTTGTGTGGGATTTGTTGATTAAAAATTAGGGAATTATGAGTCGGTTTTGACTGGGTTCTTTTGTAATGAATAGAAAGCAGAAAAAGGGGTTCTTTGCTCAGGTTGTTTGGGAGCATAGAGAGTCGCTTAAGGCTTATTTTGATTAAAGATTTTTTTTTTTTTTTTTTTAATTTGGTGGATTGGAATGTAAGGTTTGACTTCAATTTTGTAATTCCCAATTGAAAAATATTCTCTCTCTCTCTTTTTTTATTTTCAAATCTTTTTTAAGTTCATAAGCTCCGAATTTGTTCAATGGGTCTTTTTTCAGAGCCGATTTGTACTTTGATGGTGGAGAACCAAATACAAGGAAAAGGGTTTTGTTGATAAGGTTATGGTTGTTTGAAATTCCACAGTGGTTCTGTGCTGTGGAGGTGACTGTAGCTTACTAGCTTTTGCAGATTGGGTTTTAGAATTAATGGTACGGAGACAACCCACATAGACTGCGTGTTCCGAGTTTGTGGTGTGACTGAGAAACTGTATTCTGGTATACATCATGCCTCTCTCTGAATTCCATCAGATGGCAAAAGGAAAGTTAGAATCCTCCCAATCAAAGATGAATAATTGTTCGACCGATCAGGCTTTTGTGTGAGTTCATGTTTCTTCAATCTGCATCTTCATGTTTGATGTTTTAAATCCCCATCCATCATCTTTAGTTATTATAAAATAAAATAATGGGTTCCCTAAGCTCCTTTTCTGTTTGGTGAATTTGATGCAGTCCGGATCATGATTTCGTTGAGCTAGTATGGGAAAATGGTCAGATTCTGATGCAAGGTCAGTCCAGTAAAACGCGAAGGAGCCCCTCAAGCAACAATCTTCCATCTTATATTTCCAAGGTTCAAGATAAAGATGGAGGGGACGCCACTAATCTAAAGATTGGAAGGTCGAGAACTGAAGAGCACGTTTTGAATGATTTCACATCGACCGTACCTTCGGGTAATATGGGATTGGCTTCAGAGGAAGAGATGGTCCCTTGGTTGAATTATTCCCTGGACGATTCTCTGCAACATGATTATTGCTCGGAGTTCTTTTCGGAGTTAACTGGAGTCAATCTAAATGCACTCTCCACTCAGAATAATAGCTTCCCAATTGATAAGAACAGTAGTTGCGGCCAGATAAGTAGGGATTTAAATATAGCTTCTGTATATTTTGACAAGAATCCACAAGGGAATGCATCCAAGGGTGTCGGAGGAAATCCTGAGCCTATTAGACCCAGTAGCAACCAGTTACGTTCTTCGTCATTGCAGCAGTGCCAGATTTCACTTCCATCTCTAAGACCTCGTGTTTCAGATTTAATTAACAGTAATACCAACAATGCCGACAAAGCCTCCTGTGGGAATTCAAGTGACACCCCAACTTCAAATGGTGGACTGCCTAACACAAAGATGCAGAGGCAAGATCCAGGACCCACAAGACCACCGCCACAGAATAATATCAGTTCTGGTCTAATGAACTTCTCCCATTTCTCAAGGCCTGCAGCGTTTGTTAAGGCTAATCTCCACAACCTTGGTGCTGTGGCCAGTCCAGGTTTATCAAGTATAGATAACTTGAGAAGTAATGGCAAGGCCTCTGCAGCCGGGAGTAGCAACCCTGTAGAATCCACGCTGATCGATTCTACTAGTGGTTCAAGAAATGCTACAAGCTTCCACAACCAACGGGCTTCTGTACCAGCTGAAGGTGAACCAAAACCATCTAAGCCTCCCAAGGAACAATTCTCTGCTGAGAATTCGGAAGTTGTTTTCCGAGAAGAAGCCCATAGGAGAAAAAGATCCCCAGATCGAGTTATTGACCATACCTCAAGTTTTGCAGCAAGTACTGCCGTAGGAAAACCAGATGGTGAAAGAGCTGTGGAGCCTGCGGTTGCATCTTCCTCCGTATGCTCGGTCAACAGTGGTGGGGGAGCTTCAGATGATCCAAAAAATACTTTGAAGAGGAAATCCAGGGATGGAGATGAGTCTGAATACCAGAGTGAAGTAAGTGAAAATGTAAAACCAACCTCTTATCTTCGATGATATAGAAATTTCTTCATTATTCCTTTTCTTCCCCTGTTTTTCCCCTTTCTTTTTCCCAAAAAAGTTCAGTTTTGATGCAGGATTTGGAAGAAGAATCAGTGGGTGTAAAGAAATTGGCACCCTCTAGAGGAGGCACAAGCGCCAAGAGAAGCCGAGCTGCGGAAGTACACAACTTATCTGAAAGGGTAGGCAAGAGAAAAAAAAATGATCTAAAAATTTTGCTCAGAAATCCAAAATATAACTTCTATATTGGTTTGGACAAACAGCGGCGAAGGGATAGGATCAACGAGAAGATGCGAGCATTACAAGAACTTATACCTAACTGCAACAAGGTTGGAATTCTATGTTCCCAATTTAAGTTGAATTTTTGCTTGACATTGTTTTGTCATCACAAGCATTCACATCCCACTCATGCTTGTTAAGTTTGCTTTTCTTTTTATTTTGTTTTTCTTTTTAAATTTTTAACTTTGTTCAATGATGCTTCTATGACTCTATCCTGGCCATGCTGATTTTCACCTTGTGGTGTTAGGTGGATAAAGCTTCAATGCTTGATGAAGCCATTGAATATCTGAAGACTCTTCAGCTTCAAGTGCAGGTCCACTTCTTTTGGTTTTTTAATTTTCAGTATGTGGCCATCAACTTAAGTATATAATCTTAACCTCTTCGTGAGCTTAAAAGTTAAAACATTGATTCTTCAATGCAGATTATGTCAATGGGGAGTGGGCTGTGCATGCCTCCAATGATGTTGCCTCCTGGAATGCAACACTTGCATATGCCACATTTGGCACATTTCTCACCCATGGGTGTTGGAATGGGGATGGGTATGGGCATGGGTTTGGGATTTGGGATGGGAATGGTTGATATGAGCAGTGGCTCCTCTGGTCGCCCATTGATTCAGGTCCCTTCCATGCATGGAAGGCAGTTCCCTTGTCCACCTATTTCAGGACCTGCTAGTTTGCCTGGAATGGCAGGGGCCAACCTACAGATGTTCGGGCTCCCTAGTCAAGGTCTCCCCATGTCAATTCCTCGTGCACCCATTATTCCTCTGTCTGGAGGTTCTTCAACAAAATCAATTTCATTGCCTGATACCTCTGGAACTGTAACTCCAGTGAAGGTTCCAGATTCAGCTCCTCCATCAAGTTCAAAGGAACCAGAGCCAAACATTAACCCACAGATGATGCACAAGACAACTGCTGATTGCTCTCCGGACCATATATCTACTCAGGTTTGTTACCATAAGCCATCCAAAATTTCTAATGCTTCTATGTAGCACTCACTTGGTTTATTGGTTCCATTAAGATGGGTTAGCTCATGCTGCATTGTGTAATGTGATGTAGGGAAAATATGAATTCCATCTGTAGAAGTTCCATCCAAGAAGAGAAGTGCATGCTTCATGCATCTTTAACAATTTAACCAATAGTAATTAAAGCATTTCTTTTGTCAATATTTTCTCCTCTGCCAGTGCCAGGCAACGAAAGAAAGTTTTGAAGAGTCTGCTTTCGCGCAAAGAAACAAACCAACTCAACATACCAGTGTTGATGGAGTTGTTGACTCTACCAAAACAAATGGAACTATCTAGCAGAACAACTTGTGAGTTTATGTCGGCAAGCCTCTCAGTTACAATATTTTCTTACCTCAAATCAAGTTTAAATGGTGGTTGAGTAAAAACTTACTCTACTTTTATATGCAGGTTAATTATTGTGCTCAAAGCTGGGATTGGAGAAGAACCAGGTAGCAGCCCATCTATAACAGTTATGCTGCTTATTCAATTTATTTGTTTCAGGCCAGAGAGAGTTTTGTTCAATCATGGGAAAATGGTTTTTGAGATGCACGACATGTAGTGGAATCATTAAATGACAATCTGCATTCTAACATCAGGGCAGTCCCCTGCTAACTGCACATAATTTTGTCATTTGAAGATACTAGAGGGAATCTGCATCTGTACATTCACTCGAGACACCAGTGCGGTGAAAGTGAATATCCAAGAGTTAAACTTCTAAAAGAATGTATTCAGAGTGTTCAACACAGCTATAAGCATTTACTTTTATCAATGGAAAGGATTTTCTGTTTTTACATTTGTTTTACTAGTGGGGTCTCTCTTCTTTGTGCAATCTCTCTAAGTCTGAATCGCCCCCAATTTGAGATTTACAGACTGCACAATTCTACTCCCCCGAACATTGTTAATGTAGTAGGCAGGAGCCACCATTTCTATAAATTAAGCTGTCTTAATACTGACTTTATTGACGTGATTCATATTATGCAGTCATGTTTAAACCTGGTTTGTCCAACATGTAAGGTAAGTAGATAGCTTATTGATCTCAGATGAAGGAAAAGATGAAAAGAATTTGAACAGGAGGTGGGGTTGGTGTGTCCCACAGGGGATATGTTCTTTACTTTAAGAAATTTTATTATATGCATATATATTTTTTCACTTCTTGTGTATGTTTGCCTTCCCCTTCCGGGCTTGCAGATGGAGCTTATGGGTGTGGGTTGCGGTTTTATATGGAATGGTGGTTTAGTCCTTTCTGATTTTTACACCAGGGAAATGAAATAACAATAACAATGGTGGGCAAGACCACCGATTGCTGAATGTAATATCACCAATGTTTGACTTGAATTTACCAAAAACCAATGTTGATATTTAAAATTGACGAAACCCCCTCTTGTAAGACATAGCCCAATAATATGCCTTGAAGCATCAGAGACTGGTCTGTAAAATTTGTCAGTCAAAATGTTTTCAATTTTACCCCCTTTGCTGGGCACACTTTTCTGCTTGGTATCGTTAATTTAGAATCTGAGACGGTAAGTTGACAGTCTCTGAAAGTCTGAATATACCATGTCCATGTGAGATTGAGAATACAAAAGGTTGCTCAGAAACTGGTCTGTAAAATTCGTCAGTCAAAATGTTCACTTTTACACCCTTTGCTGGGCACACTTTTCAGCTTGGTATCGTTAATTTAGGATTTGACATGGTAAGTTGACAGTCTCTGAATATACCATGTGAGATTGAGAATACAAAAGCTAGCTCCTCTGCCCGTTACTCGTGAATTCCAGGTGCAGCCATGATTGTGTTATACTTCACAATAACTTTCTCTGCTCTCATTGTTAGTGTTATGGTGCACAGGGAATGGATGCCTGCCATGGTTATGGAATTTGGTACACTGAAAAAGTCTAATAAACACAATTTCAGGCAACCCACTCTCTACGTTGCATCTTAATAAATCTCTGTATCTGCCTCCCTTGGCGAAAAATTTCTAATGAACAGGGGGAGTTGGTTTGTCCCATTAGTAATGAACACAGTTTCATCAAAGCAAATTGATTAATACAGAGTTCGACTTGAAAAACATCCAAATCATGACATGATGTTGCTAACGCACGGGATAAAGAATCATCAGTTTTTCGCACATGATGAAAAGAGACACAGGTAAAGTCCCTTAAGCACCCCAAGAAATCATGAAGAATAGGCTTGTAGGTTCAAGAACAGGTAGCCCTCCGCAAATATGCCATAATACTCCAATTGTCATTTAAACACATAAATCCGTGGATGCTTTTAAGATAATCACTGCAACGAATGGTTGATCGCCCATTCCACACCATCCTTCTGATGATAGTTTGATACCCCTGGTGGTTATGGTTTCACAATCACTGTTGCCTTTTATGTACCATTTGTATGCTTTTTAACTCCAAAAGCATCCTCTGGTGTTTTCTTCCAACAATAAATAAAAACAAAATTAGAAAACTGCACAAAAACAGCAAGTAACACCATATTTTTCCAGGGCTGCGTTTGTTTGCGGTGTAAATGCCAGACCGGAGGAGTTTTACATTTTGGTCCAGTTTTATAGCTGTTTGGATGAAACATAAATGACCATCGGAAATCGATGTAAAACTCCTCAAGGGAAATTTATATCTCGTAAAAACGATGTAAAGATTTACATCAACAATTGCCACTTTTTTGACGAGTGCAGAACTCCAACGGTGCAGAACTCTCCTCCAGTCCGCTATTTACACCACATTCAAATGCAGCCTAGGAAAACTTTGGGGTGAGGGTGGGAACTGCAAAGGGTGAATTGATCCCCAGATCAGTGGATACTAGAACTCTTGATCTGGCTTACCTCTTTCTATAGAGTTCTCATTACTCGTCACATCCAAACGTTGTGAGAGAATGTATTGAAACTCTAGAGACTAGAATGTTCATTAGAAGTCATAAAGAAAAAGTTGAACTGACCTTCAAAACTATCTACGCAGCATCAAGCATGAGATTGGGCAAATTGTTGCTCACTGGTAAAGCAGATTCCTGATTCTCAGCTTCCGTTTCAGCACTATCTACCAACTTGAGATTTAATAAAGCATTGCTTAGTGATTCAGTTGTTGCTGTCAAATCACTGACAGTAATTTTTTCAGGCACTGCTATTTGTTGGGTTTCATTGGCAAGTTCCAACTCCAGTTTCTTGAACTCCTCTTCAACATCTCCATCCTCAACGCCTGTCTGTTCAAGTGCAGTTGATTCTGCAAAAGCAATAAAGACCCATATGATCCTAGTTAGAGGTCCAAACTTAATCAAGAATATACACCGAGAAAATGAACTTCAGTTCTATGAAATATCCAGATGCATAAAAATCCTATAATGCAGACTTCGTCAAGTCAAAAAGTAATATCATAGATACCAGTCGCAATCATCTGATCTATTACCCAAAAAGAAAGAAAAAAAAAAAAAGAAAAGAAAGAAAGAGGATCCAATATGGTTAATTTTTTATTGAGCCCTGGGTGAAGATGCATCCTTAGGTCCAAATTGCTTGGAGCTGCAACATGCATCCTTTCATATCTATACCTAAATGATCATTTCTCATACTGTGATTGTTTAATTTATCCTTAATATGATATGCAATGCATATTTACTCAGCCTTTTTTTTAGATGGCATGGGTTATACAGTTTTAGGGAAGCAACAAATTACCTAGTGCTTCTTCCACCAGTTTTTGTGAGGTGACACTCTCATCAAGCTCTTGGAGACAAAGTTGGACTTCTTCCACACTCACACCATTTTCCTTAATTGCTCGAGCTCCAATTTGGATAGCTTCAGAAACCTGGTATTAGTAGAAAATGGGTGAATCATCATCACCATCCAAGCCTTATCCCAACTATACGAGGAAAAGTTATAAGTGCTAAAAAATATAAGGGAATTTTCATTGTTTACCTTCTTTGTAGATTCAGCATTTGCTATGACACTAAGGATTTCCTCCACTCGGTTCAAAAGAGAAGCACACTTTTCTCTGCTTTCAGTGGTCAATCTCAACTGCCTTGCATATCTGATTGCAGCCTTTTTGTCCCTAGACTTCAGGGAAGTTAATGCTGATTTTCTTAACCTGAAAGAGAGAGCATTTTTTATTGGCCAAGATATGAAACAAGGATATCCACCAACTAGGATATCCTCTTAATAAATCCATTTTATGGTTAAAAATATACAACACCTAGGATGGATGTTGATGCAGAATGGGATATAGAATGAAACCATTGAGGAAGAAATCAAGCTTCTCCCAATTCTAACTGCTCCAGTAGCAGCAGTTTAATATTTTCTGAGATTTCCTAGTCTGTCACATTTTGCTTTCTTTTAAGGTTACTTTCTGGTTTATAGTTGTCGCAGAATAGGTTTAATTATTTTTAAGAATCAAAATGGTTAAAAATAGGTTCAATTAGTCTTGAGCATCAAAAAAATTAAGTCATAATCATGTCATTTTTCTTGTAGGCTAAGTTTCATGTGTTAAACCTTGTCTGTTTAACTTAATTTACATTATCAAGTAAGTTATTCAGCTATGTTATCCACAAAACCAAAATGTTGTGAATCCTTATTTAGGTCACTGGTAGTCGGTTGTTGATGTTGTTTTGAGTGTAAATCAGTATTTAGGTGTATTTTTTTTTAGATAATAAGTATTTACTAATTAGGTGTATTATGTTATTTGAGGGTACATCTTGTTTACAAAGCAATTTAGGACTTGCTTTTCATCAGTTCTTAACTTGGAGTCTACAAAAGGTCCTACCCCCTCTCAATCAGTTATTGTGTTCTTTCTAATATATCAACTTTTCTTTTTCTTTGATCCTTGATTTTGTTCTAATCTCTTATTGCTGAATTCTCCAATAGGCATTAATTTTATACTACCCAGCGAGCTGTATTTCATCTTTCTTTCCACATCTCCATATAAAAAACTATCTCTATCCATTCTTAAATCCCTATTGTCCACTGCATAAAAGTTGGTCTACCATGTCATAGTTGATCAACTCCTAACCCTGATGCTACATCAATTAAATGCAAGCCTCAACCTTGGATACCAAATCATTGATCCGGTCTCTAATTTGAGGACTACTTTAAGAACAAGGAATATTCACAAATCAAACCAACTTGAAGTCAATTTGTGTTATAAAGATCATTACACAAGCAAGAACATTTCAGAGTAGGAAGCAAACATCACAGAGGAGCAGGATCTTACATTTCATAACGTTGGTCAATTGCATCAAGTTGTTGCTGAAGTTTTTCTGTGGTCCAAATCAAGTGCAAAACATCGCAATCAAGACTTGAGATGCTAGGAACTACCGCTGGCACAAGAGAAACTTTGACACCCTGTAAACAATTCATCCAGGTACATATCCAAAAATATTTTTGAAAATATACAATTTAATAATCAGGTTTCAGGGGGGAAGTTCAGTTAATGGAATCATAATTCTGCCTCAACCTAGTTTACCTTGTACTGAGAATAACTATTCAAAACTTTTACTGAAAAAATTCATTCTTTTTTCATTGGAGGGAGGCCTTTTCAGAGGTTCTCCTGCCATGTTGTCCATCAAATTGATCAAGTCATGGAGAAACCTTGGTTGAGTGAATTCCCATACTAAAAAGTAGCTTGAAGAAATTTTGTGAGCTTTGATTTTGTTTAGGGTAGATCTTTAACCATTCTATTAACCTAGTTAACTCAGCCATGTACTTCATTAACTTGGAACTTGGAAGAGTCAACAGGTGAGGTCCAATTTCTCTGTGATTGCATTGTGAGAGTAATTCATTATATTTTGCCCTTACTTTTCTTACTGAAAAATAATGGGAAAATTTGACAAAAGAATCAAAATATAAGTTCATTAGACTTAAGATGAGGTAAAAGTTAGCAGAAATACAGTACTTTTATTTGGTGAGCAAATTACAGTACTGATTATGCCCAAATTCAGTTATTTGAAGAACCAATCCTATTTTGAGAGTTAAATTCTGTAGCAGATTGGTTGGCTAAACTGGGAGTCCATAGGGAATTTTTATATAGTGAGAGAGTTATGCCTTTGTCATCTGTGTGTGCTCCCTGTTGTACATACTCTCATGTACCCCTTTCTTTATTAATGAAATCTGTTATCTTTCATTTCAATCAAACAAAAAAAAATCCTATTTTGAACAAGGTCAAGGTTGTCAAAATCAAATAAAAGGGAATGCTGATAAAAAAATCAAATAAAAGGGAAAATGGAGTACCTCGATGAGATCCTTTTTGTTGATCGAGAGGTATAGTGCCTTTCCACAATCTGATAAGTAACCCAAGATTGCAGAAGCTTCACTGGATCCTTTACAAATTCTATGGAATTTCTCCATTGTAACAATACAAAATGAAGTCCAATGGTTCTCAGATAAAAGCATGACAACCTCAGCAGCTCTTTCCTACATGCGAAAAAAACAAACTTCACAGAACACAGGGTAACCAACGTTTGTCTAGCGTATGTGAATATTTACAAACAAGGAAAAAAGAGAAAGATATTGTCAGAAGTCTTTTTGGTCTTTTGAAAACTTGACTGTCTCATTTGGAGTTAAAAGAAATATACTGTGCAAAAATGAAGTCCATAGCTTCTCAACAAAAACATGACAGCCTCAGCATCTCTTCTTTTTCTTTGATCAATAACAGAAACTTTTATTAAAGAATTAATAGAAGGATAGAGGAAGCAAGGGGAGAGATAAAATCTCTTAACCCTCCCTGAGAAATACAAAACATAATTACAATACAGCCTCAACATCTCTTTCCTACAAGCTAGAAACAAACTCTACCGAACACTGGGTAACTAATGTTTGTCAGTGTATAGAACATGAATATTTAAAAACAATATAAATGGAAAACAAAAATATTGCAACAAATTTTTTTGGGTCTTTTAACTACATGATCCTGTTTCTTTTGGAGTTAAAGACTGCATTAATGTGGAAAGAAAACCTGTAAATGTTATGCATATTTCAGGACATTGCCAACAATTTGATTTATCATACAAGATTACAAGGGAGATCATTTATATCAGAGATGCTCCAGACGATCATCTGTAGGGACTGAATTTTGGGTGGATCCCCTGGATGAGATCCATGATAAGCTGATTGCTCTAGAGGATCTTCCTAATGGTGCCTTAATATAAATTTGAAAGGCTACATAGTAGCAAAAGGGGGAAAAGAGAATGAAGATGACACATAGGAGATAAAAACAGGCTCAGAAAGAAAAAGAAATTAAGAGCAGAGTACAAACATAATACATGCCTGCAGTAGTGTCTTAAGGATGAACCGATCTTCAAAAATTTCTTTTGGAGTGGGTGATCTCAATATGCCCATCAAATGTGACATTCTTCTAAACAATTGGGAGAGACGTCCACTGGTTGGATCCCCAAGATCTCCAGTACGTAAGATTTCACCAGTATTATACATTTCAACCTGAAAGAATATATAGGTGGCTTATTGGAATTAGAATCTGCAATGCTAAACCAAATTGAACTGAAATAATGTTGTTGATCAAAGAGCTGATAAACAAAACAGATTGATAATTGGGTTGAATTAAAGATGAGGAAAATGAGTGTTTGTCTACTCTTCTATGTCTCTTTGATAAGGTTTGGTTGGATCCCTCGAAACCTGATAAAAGGATTTGGGCCATTCACCCCAAAGGATCTTTTTCTTGTGGTTCCTTTTTCAAGTTCCTCTGCCAATCTCCCTCTCATCAGAGTTTCCCTTTCAA